GTTGGATCTAAATATCCTTTTAAGGTAAACAAAAAATTACCTTATTGCATTTTTACTTTTCCGGTACTGCTTCATTAGTTTCAAAATTTGTACATTTATTTTGTCACCAAAGATTAATTTTCGAACTTAATTAAGACACAATGTACTAAAATAGAGTATAGTGGCATCATCAAAATCTATCAAAATTGGGTACTAACACTTTCACTAAGAGGAACACATCTTCTAAGTTCTAACAACCTGATCAGCACATATACGAAACAAATATGGTTCCTCCCAGAAATAATACTTCAGATCAGCAAAAAATTTCTTCGTTTATGAGGTGTATAATCAGAAGGAACAACACCCCCAACAAGATAGTTGGCGATGTCAGAAAACCAAGGCACCTCATAAACGATCCTCAAAAGTCTCTTATCAGGAAAAGTACCCTCAATATCTCTCTCATTCAGGGAATGAAGAAAGGGGTTTTCTAACCTACTCAAGTGATCAGCCGCTAAATTCTCAGTCCCTTTCTTATCCCTAATCTCAATGTCAAACTCCTGGAGTAGTAATATCCACCGAATCAATCTAGGCTTAGCATCCACTTTTTGCATCAAATATTTAAGAGCAGAATGATCAGTGAATATCACTACCTTAGACAAAATCAAATAAGGACGAAACTTGTCGAGAGCAAACACAACAGCAAGCAATTCTTTCTCGGTGGTAGTGTAGTTTTCTTGGGCACTATCGAGAGTTTTAGAAGCATAAGAAATAGGCTGAAAATGTTTCTCTCGACGCTGCCCAAGAACGGCTCCTACTGCAAAATCACTAGCATCACACATAATCTCAAAAGGCAAAGACCAGTCAGGAGCTATTACCACCGGTTCCTTGACCAGTTTCTCCTTCAAACACTCAAAAGCCTCTAAACACTCCTTTGAGAAGTCAAACGGTGCATCCTTCTCAAGGAGCTTAGTCATGGGTCGGGCTATCTTAGAAAAGTCCTGGATGAACCTACGGTAAAAACCCGCGTGGCCTAGAAAACTCCTAATGGCACGGACCGAGGTAGGGGGAGGTAGTTTAGAAATCACATCAACCTTAGCCGGATCAACCTCAATCCCCTTACTCGAAATCTTATGCCCTAGGACCACTCCCTCACTAACCATGAAGTGACACTTCTCCCAGTTAAGTACCAAATTCACCTCTCGACACCTAACCAGGACTTTCTTCAAATTCTCTAAGCACTCATCAAAAGTATCACCATACACAGCAAAGTCATCCATAAAAACCTCCATAAACTTCCCAATAAAATCCTCAAAAATAGCAAGCATGCATCTCATAAAGGTAGCAGGGGCATTACATAATCCAAACGCCATCCTCCGATAAGCAAAGGTACCGAATGGACATGTGAAAGTGGTTTTATCCTGGTCCTCGGGGGCTATGGGGATCTGGAAGTATCCCGACATCCCGTCAAGGAAACAGTAAAACTTATGCCCTGCTAGCGTCTCTAAAATCTGGTTAATAAAGGGGAGGAGGAAGTGGTCTTTCCGGGTGGCGGCATTCAACCTTCGGTAATCAATGCAAACCCGCCATCCGGTGACCGTACGTGTAGCAATCAACTCATCTTTCTCATTCCTAACCACACTCATCCCCCCTTTCTTGGGAACCACCTGGGTCGGGCTGACCCAGGGGCTGTCTGAAATCGGATAAATAATTCCTACATCTAACAGACGGATGACTTCCTCCCTGACTACCTCCTGCATATTAGGATTCAGTCTCCTTTGTGGCTGCACTACCGGTTTAGCATTATCTTCCATCAAAATTTTATGAGTGCAGAAAACAGGACTGATTCCTTTCATGTCAGAAAGTTTCTGGGCTAGAGCTTCCCTTTGTTCACAAAGTAAATCAAGACATGCAGATTTTTGGGATGGCTCAAGCCCGGATGCAAGAATAACAGGGAGGTCAGAACTATCATCTAGAAACGCATACTCAAGGTGGGAGGGAAGAGGCTTTAGATTTAATGGAGAAGGAGTAACAATAGAAGAATCAATCTGACAGTCTTCCTTCTCCACCTTATCTAAGTCATCTTCCTTCCCCTTCACATCACTAGCATCACTTGAGTCCTCCTCCCTATCAAGCAAAAGACAATCAAGACTAGGGAGGAGCTCAAGATCCTCTGCTGACAAACTATCATCCAAAAGAAGATCAAAGAAGGCTTCATCAGAAAGCATGTTAGGAATGCAATCCTCCACCAAAGAATCCACCACATCCATGTAAAAACACTCACCACTATCCTGACAGGGCCTCTTCATTATTTTGGACATGTCAAAGGTGGCAGACTCATTCCCAACGCGGAGGACAAGCTTACCGTCTTCAACATCAATAAGTGATCGGGCAGTTGCCAAGAATGGTCTGCCCAATATCAATGGTACCTCCTGATCCTGATCCATGTCCAAAATAACAAAGTCTACCGGAAAAATAAATTTGTCCAATTTAACCAACACGTCTTCAATAATCCCTTGGGGATATTTGACTGAACGATCAGCCAACTGAATGCACATACGTGTAGGTTTAAGTGGACCGAGTGCAAGCTTTTCATATAAAGCAAGAGGCATCAAATTAATGCTTGCACCCAAATCAGCCAGGGCCCTATCAAAAGTAAGATCTCCTATAAAGTAGGGAATAGTAAAAGAACCTGGATCCTTAAGCTTCTTCGACAGATCTATCTGTATCATAGCTGAGCACTCCTCATTAAGCGTCACAATAGACGCTTCTTCCAGCCTCCTCTTGTTTGTGAGCAAATCCTTCATAAACTTCGCGTACTTCGGCATCTGAGCTAGTGCATCCACGAATGGTAAGTTAATCTGCACTTGTTTTATGAGATGCAGAAACTTACCAAACTGGTCACTATCGTTCTTCCTAGTCAATCGCGCCGTATTGGCTTGTGAGGTATTTGATGTTTGGGGCATTGACTTCATGGGGCCGTTCCCGGGTTCTAAAGGTAGTAAATTCATTCTGGTTGCTGTGGATTATGTTTCTAAGTGGGTTGAGGCTGAAGCTCTGCCCACAAATGATGCTCGAGTTGTGATTCGTTTTCTGAAAAAGTTGTTTTCTAGATTTGGAGTGCCACGAGTTTTGATAAGTGACAGGGGAACCCACTTTAGGAATGATCCAATGACTTGCCTTCTGGCAAAGTACGAGGTCACTCATAAAGGGGGCGTCCCTTATCACCCTCAAACTAGTGGCCAAGTTGAGAATTCGAATAGGGACATTAAGACCATCCTTGAAAAGACTGTAGAGACCCATAGGAAGGATTGGTCTGATAAGTTAGATGATGCGATGTGGGCATTGCGTACAACGTATAAGACACCCATTGGCACTACTCCGTTTCACTTGGTTTATGGGAAGGCGTGCCACCTTCCGGTAGAGATAGAGCATAAGGCATATTGGGCCTTGAAAACGTTGAATAAGGATATTTCTTTGGCGGGTCGTGAGCGGCTTTGGAAGCTCAATGAGTTGGATGAGTGGAGGCTTATGGCCTATAAGAACTCTAAGATTAGTAAGGAGCGTACCAAAGCCTATCATGATCGGCACATTAAACAGGGAAAAGAGTTTTGTAAGGGGGGTCAAGTTCTGCTATTCAATCCCCGAATGAAGATTTTTAAAGGAAAGTTGAAGTCTAGGTGGTCCGGTCCTTTTGTAGTGAGCGAAGTTTTTCCGTATGGAACTGTTGAGATTGATCATCCTGAGAACGGCCGTTTTAAAGTTAACGGCCATCACCTGAAGAAATACTACGGAGGACCGCTAGAACGCGAGCGTGAGGTAACCTGCGTAGTGCGTCGGGCAAACGACGTTAAAAATAGCGCTTCTCGGGAGGCAACCCGAGCTTAATTTGTGCTTTGTTAGTTTAGTTTTACTGCTTTAAAAAAAACCACAAAAACAAAAAAAATGGATTTTGGCCGGGCACGGTCGTGCCTGGGCAGGCACGATCGTGCCTGCAAGGAGGAAATTGACGCGAGGCTACTGCCAGCCAGACACGATCGTGTCTGGCTGGAGGCACGATCGTGCCTGGGACGCGAGAGAGCCTGAGCTACTGCCAGCCAGGCACGATCGTGTCTGGGCTGGGCACGATCGTGCCTGAGCGAAATTACCTGACTACCCCCGCGTTAAAAAAAACAAACCCAAACCCATCCCTTTTCCCTTGCGTGACCAACGACCACTCCCCCATCGATCCTGCTTCTTCCTCGACAACACCGAACAACGACCACCACCACCACCGGCCGAGACCACCGGTGACCGCCGCTGCTCCGACCGACCGCCGCACACTCCTCTCTTCTCTCTCCTCACTCAAGTATTTTCTTCCCTTCTCTTTCTTTCACCATTAATGGAGGTTTGTGAAGCTTTGTGAAATTCGAAATTGCATGTGCTCAAAACTTAGGGATTGTGATTTCTTTGTGTTAATTGAGGCTTGTATTGATGATATTGATGTTCTTTGTCGATGAATTTGCCTCTTTTGATTGAAATCCCTAATTTTTGAGCTAATTTAGCCAATTTAGGGTTGAAAGTTGTTGGATGTGAGATAAATTTGGGGATTTTGTGCTTGTTGCTTGAATTAAGGAATGAATTGTTGTTTGTGATGTTGAATACTTGTTGTTGAGACAATTTGAGCATAAATCCCCAAATTTTAGGCCAAACTTTGTCAAAATTGAGAATTGTGAGTTCTTCCCCTATTTTAATCTCTTTAATTCTTTTGGGAGGAACTCCATTCTACAAACACAGTTGTGATGAATAAGCTTTCTTGTGACCTTGTTTATACCGTGTGTCGTTGAAAATTTGAACTTTTATTCAAAGAACTTTTCTTTGATAAAAATTCAAATCTTTCAACTATTCTGGTTAAACTTGGGTTTGTTCTACTATGATGATTTTCTCGCTTGATTAATTGCTGACGGGGCCATTTCTGTGCTTTGTGAATTTGTTCTAACATTTGGAAGCCCCGTTGGAATTCTTGTTGTGATTTGTTTTGACAGATGCCGCCACGACAGAAGCACACTAGAGGTGGAGGTGCCGGCTCTAGCCGAGGCAACACTGGCTGGTACCAACCGAGGTTCCCGCAACTGCGGGACGAGCTGAAGTATACGGAGCTGCTGCAGAAGGACATGGGCACATTTTACTTTCCGGATGAGGACTCACTCACGGCAGCTAGAGTGAGAGATGAGGTGATGTACCTCCTGAGACGGGGGTGGTGGAGGCACATGTTTTTTGGGATCCGTGACTTGACCTATAGAGAGATTACCTGTGAGGTGCTGGCGACGTTCAAAATGCCGAAGACCATACCTATTGATGACAACACTCGGCCTGTCATCAGATTCAGAGCTTTTGAGGAGGACCATGGCTGGTATGCTGTATAACTTGGGCTTCACGGGGATCGAGGACAACGGCCAGCACGAGGTCGTCTTGACAGACTTTCCACCAGGCGTCGACCGCCAGGCATTTTGGGAGTCGATCACGAGAGATGGCGGGACATACAGGCCGAAGATGTCCCCTAGCACCCTACTTTACCCCCGCCAGTACCGCATTATTCACGCCCTTCTGTCTTCCACCATCACCGGCAAGGCCGAGGTTGCCGGTAAGGTCACGCAGACTGACCTCTTCTGCTTGTATTGTATGATCCACAACCGCAGGCCCCACATGGGCTATCTCCTCGCCAAGCTACTTCACCGCCAGGCCACGAACCATATCAAGGCCATCTTTGCTGGCCCATTCATTACGAGGATGTTGACGAGGATGGGGTTCGGGGACCGATTTCTGAGGATGGAGGAGAGCTCCAGTTTTGTTGCTTTGACCCGGCTCCCCGAGGTCAACACTGGCGTGGCGAGGAGGAGGACGCAGCCGACAGCAGCAGCAGCAGGAGGAGGAGGCCAGCGAGCTGAGGATGATGATGATGATGATGTGGATATGGAGGCGGCTGCTCACGAGATCCCATACGATGCACCCCCCTACGGCACCGCTTTTCCTGATTCTTGGACAGGGATGCATGCGCATCAGGATGCTGTGTATCGGCAGTTGTCCGTTGAGCAGCATGAGAGGTTTGATCAGATGCGCTTTGAGCAGCAGGACTTCTACAGAGAGGTGAGGGAGGACCAGGCGCTACATTACACACAGCTCCAGTCTCAGTACACCCAGATTGATGAGCGACTCACTTCTATGGAGACTAGCTGGAGTTCGTTCTTTGATGCCTATCCACTGCCACCCCCTCCCGAGTATTAGATTTCATTAGATTGTCCTCTGCTAGCATCTGTATCATTATATTGTTGGATGACTGTACCATAAACACCATCACACTCCCATTCTCACTTTTTCACTTAACTCTTTATATTGTGCTTTGCTTTGTGTTCATGATGTGTTGCAGTTTAGTGGATGATGTGTCGTGCGATTCAAGACCCAGTTTTGTTCCTGACTGACCAACGCGATAGGGAAGTTTCCATGATTCTATTTACTCGATGCGTAATGTTAACTTGAGTTGATTTTGAGCACGTGTGACCCTTTCCTCTTCACCCCTAGTACATAATGCATATTTGGTCATCGGGGACGATGCCAAAGTTTAAGTGTGGAGGAGTGAATTGAGCATTCGGGCAGTAGTTGTTACATGTGATTTGTTAGAGTTAGCATGCGCATATGTTAGTTGTATATTCATAGGAAATTCATGCAAAATTTTTGAAAATTTTTCTTTAAACTGTGTCTTTGTGAGCTGGCTAGCGTTTTGACTATGCTTTTAGAACATCTTTGAAGTGTTTAGGCTTAAATTGCTTGCATGATAATCTAGTTGTTGAGAGGATGAAGGCATTAGTCACCCAATTAATTTTCCATTAATCATCCACCCCACCTGAATAAAGTCCTTTAGGAGAAGCCATTTTGAGCCTGACCGTTCTTTGTTTACCCAATTAATTTAGCTCCATAGCCAAATGGCCTGCTTTCTTACCCGTTCTTTGTTCCCTGCTACCACGCCGGCTAGGGTGCCGGACTCCCCCGATATCGCCCGAGCGTCCCCAATCTTAGTCTCTCCTGAAAACCTTGGGGAATCCGACTAGATTTTTCTTTTTTAGATAAAAAAAAGAAATATTAAATAACGTGCAACAGATCTAATTTTTATACCTGTGGTCCTAAAACTGAAACTCGTTCGTGTAATCTGACTGGAAATTAGATAAAGTACTACTAAATGAAATATTAAAATAATAAATAACATACTACCTTCGTTCTCTTTTAATTGCAACATTAGACTTTTTGCACTATTCACATATTCTACTTTGACTACATTTTATTAATGAATGTATTATAATTTAATTTTTTTAAACATATTGTTAAATTCTTCTCATTCTAAATTTTCAAAATATGAATTTTTTATATTTTTTACTAATACGGAATGAGAGATATTAATGGTCAAACTTGTGCGTTGGCAAACGTGAAACGTTGACTGTTGCAATTAAAAAGGAACGGAGGAAGTATTTGTTAAAATGTGAATAACGTAATATTAAAATATAAATAAGAAATAGTAAATTAATATGTAACATAATAATTTAATTTAACTATTAATTTCCATATTTGAAATTATGTTGGTGCGTTGAATGAAATCTTATCTGATGAATTTTATCTGGTTAATTTTTATCTGATTAAAACTTATCTGATACATTACTAGTATATTGCTCTATTATTAAAAATTCTAAAAAATTAATACATGATTACTACGGTGGACTTCTCTTATCTGATGATTTTTATCTGATCAATTTTTATCTATTTTAAGTGATAAATTTTATCTAATAAATTTTATGTGATTTTTTTTTTTTTTTGTTAATTATCTGTTTAAATTTTACATAAATTTTTATGAGGGATGAAACTCCATAAGCTAGTCGCCAACTCACTCTTCCATTTTTATCTACCAACTCTAGTCGCCAACTCACTCTTCCATACAAGCTAAGTGGTCTCGGGTTCGAAACTCCATGGAGGGAGTTTCAGCTTTGTTCACCCACAGTTCCCTCCTTAACACCCTCCCTTGATCCCCTTGGAGTTAAAAAAAATCAAGGGTAAGAATTTTACTCTATAATGAATTCCCTCCGAGGAGCATGCGATATAAGCAATTTGAAGAGAGGGTTAACGATGTAGTTTATTAATATCTAAAATAAAACCAATACTTTTTATTTCATTTTTATTTTATGTGTAGTTTTGACTTAATTTATGTTGTGTGGAACATTTACGAATACTTCTGCTTACAATGGAAACGAGAAAACTATCAAATAGGAAAATCTTAAGGTATATGAAGTTACTATATACTCCCTCCGTCCCGCTAAGATCTTCCTGCTTTCCTTTTTTAGCCATCCCAAAATGATCTTCTCATTTCCCTAAATGGAAAGAAATATTATATGAAATACCAAATTTGCCCTACCCATGTAATTAACCCCAGCCCATACCTGCACTCCAAGCAGCCCCTCTGATCCGCATTTCACCCACCCCTTATCCGCACTCCCATCTCCCACCTTCTTCCCTTTCAACCCGCTCGCCTTCTCTCCTCTACAGCTTTCGTCCCTCTTCTTTCTCCATATGGAAGAGGAATCAATCACTCCTTCGAACCATGGAACTCTCATTTCCTCCGTGTCATCTTTTAATTCCAACATGCATCCCCATCCCATTTCCGATGCACACCCACATCTGTCCCAACCCTAGCCCGTCGGATTTCCACCAAGTTGTGGTCAAAGTTTCCGAACAATCTCCCCTCCTAGCCACTGCCGATGAAGATGAGTCTAAGGGTGCATGCGGGTGGAATGAATCGGAAACGGATCTGGGTTGGAAGCGAAAAACAAGTTTGCCTCCCACTTCGATGAATCTGAGAATGCATGCGGGTAGACATCATCGGAAACGGATCCGGGTTGGAAATGAAGAAAGAGGTATGGCTCCCACTTCGATGAGTCTCCTGAATCGGTGGAAGAAGGCGAGGAGGTGAACTCCTTTGATTATCTATTCCCAGATTTGTACGCTGACATATTCCGGGACACTCCATAGGGAAGGTATCTATTGCTCACCTTATGATTTTGTTGATTTAGAATGATGATGGGCTTTGATGTGCTTATCTTGTAATCTGTTCTGTAAAATATGCAAATGTTGATGCCTTTTTACATGTGCTTCCCACTTTGATTAAGTGTAGGAGGCTATGTTATTTTCTAAAATTTGAAATGGACCCTTGGATTCCTCAGCTTATGATTTTGTTGATTTATAATGATGAAAAGCTTTGATGTGCTTATCTGATTATCTGTAATGAAAAATATGCAAATGTTGATGCCTTTTTACATGTGCTTCCCACTTTGATTAAAGGTAGGAGGCTATGTTATTTTCTGAAATTTGAAATGGACCCTTGGATTCCTCAGCTTATGATTTTGTTGATTTAGAATGATGATGGGCTTTGATGTGCTTATCTGGTAATCTGTTCTGTAAAATTCACAAATGTTGATGCCTTTGAGCTTGTGCTTAGCTTGGGCTTTGATGTGCTTATCTGCTTACTAATGATGATGAGGCTTGTGTGCTTATTTGATTCATTGTAATCATGATGATGGTCATTGTCTTAAAACCTAGGGTGCTTTGCTACCTTTAAACATGTGCCACCCATTATCATTTAGTGTAGGAGGCTATGCCAAAGGTGTTTGCATACTACTGTGATAGCCAATGTATGTCATTATGTGTGGGTTGAATATTACATTAGACTTTAAATCAAACATGTTTTCCTTTAAGTTTACAAAAGATTTACCAAAAACTACTACCATGCCACTACATTGTAAAATTGTAGGCTAGGCATGTATGTAAGGCAGTACTAACAAAAAAGTTGTCCTTCAGTGAGTACATACAAAAACCTCACTTTGTGATCTAAGTTCATTATTGAAGATCACCTTGAGCTTCACTTATGAACTCAGTGGCAAGTGGTTCAGTTTCAGCCCCTGATTGCATTTGTAGAAGTGATGTTTTTGCTTCCTCCACCAACTCAGGATTGATTTCCATATTGAGTGGTAGCATCCCCTGTCTGTCAAGCTTGTCTTTCCCAATATGTTTGAGCTTAAAGTTATTTTCACCTTTGTGCATCAAAATTTGCCCCATGACACACTGAAAACTTAAGAAAACTTTGTTTAAACTGTAAACTGTTAACTCATCATAAGCAGTTATCACAACTTCAGTTAATTGAACAATTGTTTTAGGGGCTTTCTGTTCCTTCAGTGAGTCAATTGCACAAAAAAACCAAGTCTAACACATTAAGGTCTGGGCTGTTTGGTTGGTGAAAACTTAGCTTTATGTTCCACCCATCTTCAGTTGCACACTCCACAAAATCCGCATCATTTACTTCAATATAGTTTGCATTGTCTTGTTGAATGATGATGTTCCTGTTTTGTGCATCTGGCCATTTTTGTTTGATTGCTGGTAATACTTTGTGTAGCATCATGTCCTTAATCACATTTCTAGTCACACTTAATGTGGGTTTGGTCTCCATTGTGCCTGCTGGTCTGTTCTTACTAGATTTCTTTGCCTTTTCCTCATAAGTGAATGGAAAGATACCGAGCTTTCCATCCCATAGCACTGCCCCGTCCTCCCCAAACCTAGGCCAACCTACAATTGCTAAAAACATTATTTTGGGTATATTTTTTTCGGATTGAGCAGCTTTGTAGGGGTCTACCTCATCTGGATGAGTGTATTATGTTGTGATTTCTTTAGATAAAAAGAATCACTTTTCATCAATGTTGAATGTGGTCAAAGAAATGATGAAAAGTGGAATTTTGTGGGAAAGGCCTAGGCACAATATGAGATCGACAGAATTGTAACCTTTTCACCTTTCCAGCATGTGTAAGTAAGGGCTTGATGGAACTGAATGCCTCTTTATTTGCTTATCTTTTACTAATCTATGCACAGAAGACTTAGAATCTGCAGGGCAAATCCCAGTGACCTGAT